TGGCATTGAACAATGTAATGATGGTGCAAGAAGCCCCATAGGCAGCGTTACTATATCATATAACTTCTTTCTACAGGTCAAACCCTCTTAAGAACACCTCAAGCACGCCTTTGAAAAACCGTCACTTGGCGATGTTTTTCGTCACATCCCCAAACCAATGCTCATGAAGTGTTCTTTCTAATCCTCTGTCCTGCAACATGGCTATCGACATCACCTTGTTGTCCTCTCGTCGCAGCCTGGAGACCATCGCCTATCAGGATGATCATATCTGCTCGATGCACCAGAAAAGAGGACTCGCATCCTGAGGCCATCATCCACCCTGAACCCGAGCTGTCGCCGAAGTTGCTCGGCTCGCTTGCATATTCCTTTCTCGGTAAAGTGTTGTCCAGTATCACTGTCATAAAATTTCTCCCCTTATCCACCCATATGGTACGTGGGACGCTCCCCTTTCCCTCCCCAGCTTTTTGTGTCCAAGGTCAACCCTAATTCATCTCGGAGAGTTCATGATTGGGCAACAAAATTGCTTTCCAAACGTTGTCGGAGACAAATAGGTCGATAGTAGGACGATGATTGGCCTTGGGCAATAAGGTCAAACATGCCACCGGACAGATTTGAATTATTCATTATCCAAGATTGTATAGAGAATTTTCTGACGCTTCGAGCCTCAAGCTCATGAGTCATTTCTTCTAGGTAATAAGAAAAGATAGGTAGCATCAGTCGTTGGTCAATTCAACAACGGGGGTCGACCGGAACGAGCAGGGACAGTGACATCTCGAGTGGGCTCGTGAATGATTGTGGATATTCGTAGAGGTACGTAGAGGTATTTTGGCCCCTTTGGAAAACTAATCACATCCTGCCGCCGCGCATAGCCACTGGAATAGTTGTGAAGCTTTCTTCCTCGTCAAATCTTTTCCATTCTGAGAGAGCCAGAATTGCGTGGCCTGTGAGATGGAAATGTGTATGTCTGGACCTTCATTGATGTTCGCTTATCCTCCTGAACTATCACCGACTATCATGGACTATCATGGATATCATGAACTTCCGGTTGCCAACCAGCTTAGAGACATGAAGCCACGACACTTGCCACTTACAGTCCTTTGAGTTGGCATAAGCTTGTATGCCGCGCTATTGGACGGTGTGTATACCACCAACGAAGAGTCTGACACGAACAAGAAAAACTTCTGGGACTGCGTGGCCCCCGAAACTTTCGGCGGACCTGCATGACCAGTGAAACTGACCAGGTTCTCAAATTTCCCTTGCTCCCAACCTCCATCTGGCCACGCAGCAATCCCATCACACCGTTTCTCTCGGTTGAGCGGGACACTAGACTTGAGACCTGTGAGACACGCACAGCACACACTGTACGTTCCGTATCGTCTCATGACTTAAGTACACTATATGAATTCAATTAGTAAGCAATATCGTTGGTTGAAGCTAGGATAAAACGTGAAGCAAGAGTGGCGAGTCAATGACTGCAGACTGGATGAACTGGAGTCGGGATTTACTGACAGCGATTGCAACGCTCTGGCTCGCGGCGTAGCGGGCACGGGTGAGAAAAACCCGCCCGCCCTTTTGTGACACTGCGACCTTGGCCATGAACTGTCTGGGAACTACATGCGAACTACCCATCGAGAAACGATGACTGCTGTTCCGGTTCGACTCCGATTCGACAATGAGACAAGAGATCAGAAGTTCATGACTATGATGACTGATAAGCCAGTCTATAATGTGCTTGAGGTACTGTATCCTACCTCATCTACTGCATGTTTTGAACCTGCCACCTGCCAGCAAAGGCAGGAGGGCGAAGAGCTGGAGTCCTGGATACCTTGTTGGGCCCTGGGAAGTGACAGGCGCTTCCAGTCAAGACCCCCAAGCATCAGGGAACTCTGGCGGTCACGGGAATGGCAATGAGGAGGGGTCTCGATGGCGACTTGCCGAGTTGATTCGGCTGTGCGGGGGGTTGGGGACATATGGCGTTTCCGGGGCCAACGACTGTCAGCGCTGTTTCTCCCTCCACCTTTCGAACCACGATAATTGCGTCTGCTGGCAAGGTGGAAACCTCGGAGTTGACCTGTTCCACTCTCAGCGGAACCTTTTTTCTTTTTTTCTTTCGTTTGGCTTCGTCCGATATCATGGCGAAGGAGGCAGGGCCTAAAGGGCAGATGCTCGTTTAGAAAGCCTGGGTATCTTGATCGGCGCGAGGAGAACGGGACGGGTGCAAATTAACGCGAAGATCTGGGACCGCAAGGTGGATGAACGGGGCACTGCTACCTCTATCTAAGCCCACTGCCCAGGCTCCTCCAGCGACATTCCAATTGCGCTGGACAAGATCCGAATACGGCCCGAGGGTATTGACTCAATATCGCGGCAGGAGTCAGGGTCCTTTTCCCTGTCCTAGAGGTAGACATGTACTTGTCGCCGTCCTTCCCTTCAGGCACTGTGGTTCAGCATCTCCCGACCGTTTTGCATCGGCGTTTTTCCTGCGCATAGTTTCGACACTGTAGAATTTGTTGAGACCATTTCCGAAACCCAAAAAAATGTGATGGTAATCTCGGCGCCGAGTGTCGTCGAAAAGGCTTAGTTCCAGCCGAGATCAAGTTTGACGTCTCATCGTCCCAGGGTTGGGGTTTTTGGAGACACCCGACCCATGCATTTTGGAGCGTGGACATCAACCAGGGCAGGAACAGAAACTTCAATTGACACTTCCTTTCAGTCCGCCAGCTGCCAAGATCCAAGATGCGCCGCTAAGAAAGCGTTCGAGTGGGTCCAGCTGTCCGTCTGGCAAGCGTCAGACAGACAAAAAAAAAAAAAGATGGGGAAACTCTCGGTGCCTGGCAACTTTTTTTTTTTTTTTTTTTTTTTTTTTTTTTTTTTTTTTTTTTTTTCTTTCCTTCTTCTTTCTTTTTGTTCGTCCCTCGTCGGCTCCAGTTGCTGCCGTTGGGTGAACGGTTCGGTCTGGTTTGTTGTATTCGCTGGCTCAGTTCTGCCAAGCGCACAAAGGAGAAGTCGTTCCGTTGCTCGACGATTCGTCTGACCACATCGCAACCTCTTTGGTGACCATCCACTCCCCATCATTTGACACTTTGACCGCCTTTGTTGCACCAAGTGCGACGCATTCGAGACAGCCGCGTCGTCAAGGGTAATTAATCGACAGTCCAGACGCCAGAACCGCCAGAAGCCTTCCAAGACTCTTCTCTCGATCCCCCCGCATTTAAGGGCTACGTCTAGAACGGCCTGTCGCGCACGAACGACTTGTCGATGTTTGCTGCTTCGTGAGTACTCGATCACGATCACTGTTCTCAATTGGAACGTCAAACCGGCGACGGGAGAAACTACCAAGAAAAACCAAGGCCCTGGATAGCGGTTTGAGGAATGTCCACGATGGTTAATCAGAAATTCAGGGACACCCCAGTGTCGGGTCCCCAAGAGTGGGGTGGAAACGCGATGTGACAGCAATGATCAGGAACTTTCCCATGCTTTTGCCCATCACATCCATCAGCCCCATCCGTCCCCATAACTCTCCCCCCTGCGTCTCCATTCGGTGTCCTGTCTTCCCCATTTCTACCGCGGCAATGCCCAATCATGGTGGGCCAACCGCCAACTTCTTTCTTGTTTTCTCCGCTGACCATGGCCAGTTTGGCTGCAGCTCGACCAAACAGGCAGCCCCGGATTTGCGGATCGCTTGACGTCGGCGAGCTTCGAAGCTGAAAAAAACACCGCGAAACGCACCTCGAAGTAAAAAAAAAAAAGAAAAAAGTAAAAGCGAACGTGAAAAGGAGTCCACTGCAGATTGCATGCGATGCCGGACAAGGATCGGTCTGCCGGGTGTCCAACCCGTTGCACTCTGTCTCCCTACGCCTCCGCCCCATTGGCGGCTTCTACACTACCCGAACTTTGTTCCAAGAGGAACTGGACTGGATCAGCTCATGGCAAACGGCTCGGTACCTTGTGGCGCCTCTTCCAGCGGCCCCTCGATGTAACTTCTACAAGTCCCGGCCCAATAAGCGACAATCGCATTCGGAATCAAGTCATGGCCTGCATTGACCCTCTGCATCTCATTTTCGCGGCTGTCTCGGAGCCTGTCTCTCCATCCCTCGTCCTAACGGAATCGATTGAGACAATAATAGTCGCCGGCAAGGGGTAAAGCAAAAGGCCGGCGAGCTAGGGACGTTAGAACGGCGAAACGGGTGCCACAGGAGGGGAGCTGTGGGCGATACACACTGTGTGGGTGGGCACCGTTGAGGTGTCGGACGGTACCGTCACCGTGGGCATCACTCCCCATCTGATCAAGGGGCAGAGACATCCCGCCCTCCTGGCACTTCTGCCAACGATCCACGAGCCGCATTTCGGGCAGGCACAGCGGGGGGGGGGGGGGGGGGGGGGGGGGCAGTTCTACGCTACAGGTACTGCATAGCGTCTCTGCGGCGTACACAGTATGCCATGCCCCCATGGCACACTCCGTCCGGAGGACAGAATCTTGTGGTGCCCGAGATTTCAAATGCCGCCCCGGACACCAGAGTCGACAATCATACCTGCGGTCTGGCCATTTTGTCCTCCATTTTCCTGTCAGAATTGGACTTGGTACGGACATTTCTACCAAAAGTGCATCTACCGTAGTGTAGTCCATTATATCCAAGTTGGCCCGGGCACAGCACGCCTCGTCACGTTTCGTCGAAAGCGGCGGCCACAAGCGAAAGTTGCAACGAAAGTTGCAACGCAGCAATCGTATCCTTCCTCACTTCTCTCATGACCCTCCCTGTCCTTCAACATCCCATCATCCTCCGCCGCCACCGTGGAAAAGATTGAGCATCCCTATTCCCCTCCCTCTTACAAAAAAGACCGCCGGTCAACAAGCGTCAAACCGCCGCCGACGTCAGCTACTTTACCCGTGCCTGTCGCCGGTTACACGACTGAGGCTTTTCCCAAGATTTTTGCAGTTCTACGCCCGAACCAGAGCCGCGAAACTCGAGCGCTGTTACGAGATTGACGGTGTTTCTCATTTTCAGCAAGCCGATCCCTGTTCCGAATCTTGGACCGGCCGAACAACAAAAGTCTGAACCCCTGATCCCTGGACACCCGGCCGGATCACTCAGATACACAAAGCGGGATCCGCTGTGTTCCCATGCTGCCGGGCCTAGACTGTACCTACAATCTTCAATAGCTCCGTCACCAGCCACTTTGTCGGCGCCGCGTTCGTTCCCGTCCCGTTCCGTGGCTCCGAATTGCTTCGCCATCACAACTCCGTCCTGATGGCTCCACCAACGCAATACAAGCCCATCCAACCGGCGCCGTTGAAGGTCGCGAAATCGGGCACTTCATCTGGCACCGGCCGTGTTAATGGAGAGAAGCACGCCAGAAGGGTCAAGGCTGTGACACAGGCTTGTCACACGTGCCGCCGATACAAGGCCAAGGTATATTCTAGTTCCCGATCTGATTCTTTGTCTTGAGACGCTGATGGTTTCGTCATTTTCACGATGTATAGTGCGATGGACTTCGACCCAGATGCACTAGCTGCAAAACCAAAAATAAGCCATGCGGCTACGAAGGCGAGGAGGGCCAGTCCCGCCAGGAGGCGATGAAATCACGGCTAGAGGCATTGGAGAGATTGGTGACCGCCCTTCAGCAAAAGTCACCCGAAGAGGCTGAAGCATTGCTTCAGCGTATTCGAAATGCTGACGATATCGTCTCGCTTTCATCGGCTGCTTCCAGCGACAGTGGCGACCGCAATATTCCTGGACTCCATCGCAATGATTCGACGTCGCCCAGCATGGGCGGGTCACTTTCCGACTCATGGACATCACCATCATCAGTCCCGACGGTATCAACCGACATCATCAAGCGTGCTTTACAATCAGCCTCGCCATCTTCCGACGAGTCGTCTGAAGGCGGTATGCAGCTTGTCTCAGATTCAGGGAGCGCCACGGCGCGTCTGCGTGTCGATCATTCGGCGTACCTAATTCGCTTCGTCCTTCCCAATGCGGACGCCACCCGTGCGGCTCTCAACAGTTTCTACAGCTCGAGCGGCAAGCTCTTCCATGTCTTCTCTCAGCAGGACATGGATAGGTTCTTCACAATTGTTTTTGGCTACGATGGACGACCCAACTATTCACAAAAGATGGCGATATGCTGCCTTTGCTCAGTCGCTGCCGTTGGAATTCAGTACAACCCTGATGATTTCGAGAAGGGTTCGGAACACATCTTTTATGAAGTTGCCCGGCGGTATTTCGTGGACGTCCTCGAGGAATCATCACTTGATGCCATCAAGGTTTGCGCCATGTTGGCTTTCTTCAATGTCATGAACAAGGCCACCATTTCGCTTGCTTGGGTTGAACTTGGCATGAGCATGTCTCGACAATTCGGCTTGAATACCAGCATTTTGTTACGCGACGAACAGAACGACCACATGATCGACTACAGGAAGACTTGGAGGACGTTGATGTTCTTCTCCAGTTGGCTTTCATCCACTTTGGGCTACATTTCCGGCAGCACTGGGTCGGACTTCCAGAAGTTTGTCCCCATTGCAGACGTTGAGCCTTATTACCCCCTTCAAGTGACCGAAACCGTACAGAGAGAGATGACCAAGATTTCGCTTCTCAAGGCTGAAATCCTGCGCATGCAACTCGAGTTCCAGGATCTACCCAGACTTACCGTTGTTGCTAACGAATACCTCGAGAAATGGCATGAGAAGCTCCCGATCGAGGTGCAGTTGGCCAACCTTGCCAACCCTGGTCTCGATGACACAGTCCGAAGGTCCATCTATCACGTCCACTTGCTATATCTTGGTGCCATGCAGCTCTTGTACCGATGGATTGCTGCTCGGCTTATTCAAACGACCACTGTCAATGGCAGGGAGGTCATTGTCCCTAGCGAGTCCGTTCCTGAAGAAGACCGCAAGCTGCTGAAGCACGTTTCGCAGGGCCTCATTGCTGCGAAGCACTCGGCCCGTCTTCTTGCTTTGCTGCACGGTGAACGTGGTATCTTCCAGCGCTGCTGGTTGGTCATGTAAGTTTTGACGGCATCACCATCCAACATAATCTTCGAATGCATCAACTAATACATTGCAAATCAGCTTCCAATCCCATACCTCATGCGTCGTCATTTTGCATTCGGTTGCGCAGAAACAAGTTCACGGCTTCCCGGTCAGTTCCTGGGCTCCGGACCTCAAACTCGCGCAGCTGTGTCTGGATACGCTCGAGTTTTGCGGAAGAATCGATCCGGTTGCTCTTCGCTTCCACGTGCGACTATCTGCCATCTTCAAGAGCCTAACAGCCGCTCTTCCGAGTAATGACAACCAAACGACCAGGCAAAGGACGGAAGACTGGGTGACCATGCCTCCTGATTTCCCTCCCATCCCTGGTGCTGCCGGAGTGAACAACAGCGCAGGTACACCACTGGTGGATCCGGAACAGCTTGAGGAGCCGGATCCGGAGTACCTTCTCACCATGCCAAAGGATGCCAAGGAGCGCATGGCTGCGCTGTCACACTCATTGTTGTCGGCACTTTGCCGACCTTGGGGTGGTGACGAGGCGGGACCGGCGGGCACGGCTTGCGCCCAGGGGAAGAGCAGCGTTGCGACTGTGGTCAAGGAAAAAGCGGTGGACGAGGAAGATATTCCAGCATCGTCGGCGACGTTTCGTTGGGATCACACAGGCCACCTGGGATCGCGCGGCATGAGCAAATTGGCGAAAGAGCTGGGGTTGACAAAGTCGACTGACGAGTCGGGTCTGGGCTCTTGTTCTACTAGTGAGCTTAGCCTGGGGAGCGACTGCAGGTTCTTGGATAGCGAGGACCCGCACGGTTGGCAGACAGCGCCAGAGTACATTGACATGCCACAATATTGACCATAATGGGGCGGCGGCGAGGGTGCGAAGGACTGGTCAGGGACATGATATGATGTTAGCGGACTGGAATTGTAGCGTCTGGTTAATCGGGGCGTGCCGGTTTGGAAATGTTGCATGGTAGTGTTGGTGTCTCCATTTTTTAGTGCTGTTGGGGTTGGGGCATCAGTGTGCGATTTGAACTTATTTTGTTATATTGCCTTTTTTTTTTTTTCCTCTCTTTTATTCTTTTGTTAAATCAAACAAGGTATTTATTAGGCTGAGAGGTTGTAGATAGCACCACGCATTTTGAAACGCTTTTGTGTGTTTTGGAACTGAATGAAAATCTGAACGTGAGAGATATTGTTGAGCCCCTTCTTTGTTTTTTTTTTTTTTTTTTTTTTTTTTTTTTTTTTTTTTTTGGTCCCCCCCTTTTTTTACTGACGGGAAAAGGGGTCACGCGTGGTGAAGCCCTATAAGGCAAGCTTACACGGTGCCCAAATTCGTACTAGCGACGCCCCCAAGTCCGTCCCGTCAGGGGAATCGATACACTATGCCTCTATACTCCAATCAAAGTTCAAGAAAACAGAGCACTAACATGGAAATTTCCCCTTCCCTTCCCTTTACTGCCCCTGCCCATTTTTCGGACATTGCATCTCTCCCGTCACTGGCACGACGACTTCAGCTTCGGCTTCATGGAAACTTTCTGCTCTGATCACAACGTTGTTCACGGCGCTTCTTTGAACGACGCGAATGGCCACTTCCGGTTGTGTGCGACCAGGGGATGCACGTCGTCGTGGCGCTTGGGACTTGTCCCCTTTCGTCCTGGGCTCTCCCCGGCTCCCGTTTTTCGCTACAGGGGAGCAACCCCGCCCAGCTCTCAGCGCTTAAAGCCATCCTCGAATCCAGCATCGGTGACCAACCATTGCCGACCATGATGCCGTCCTCGCGACAAGTCATGTCAACACAGCCAGTCAAGCACTCGGCCCCTGGCAAGGCACTGTTATGAATGGCACTGACCGGGGGATCGGCTATTGCCCAAACGGTCGGGTCGCCTGTATCACGCGGATTGGTTGCGGCGGCGCGCTTGCGCTTGTTCGTCCGGTATTCAGCCCATCCGTCGTTTCAAGACGCGCTGCATTTGCACTGCATCGAGCTGCAGCGATGGCATCAACGGCATCCCGTGGATGTAGGACCTGCCACCACATGCCACACCACATGGGTCCTGGGGAACGTCTTCAACCACTCCCGTGGACCGTTCTGGAAATGGAAATGGGCACTCTTGCAAAAAGTTGGGTTCAAGGTGTGCTCATCTTGTGTCGCAGGGCTGTGACTGTTTTGATGTTTGGTCTCTGGTAGTGGTGTGGATGCTGGAGTGTCGTGGTAGGGTAGTTACTTCTGTTGCTGATTTCTCATGGCTCACACCATCCAGACACTCCCGTCACCTTTGTGTTCATATTTGTGCAAGTTTCCTTTCCCTATTCAATTTGGTGTTGCACGTCGAAGACCACTTCTGCACACAGGGGTTTGGTTCCTTTCCTTCTTCCTTGTTTCTTCCATTCCATACGTACATGTTGTCTTGACCGTGCCGCTCGGGACGACCTTGGTCAGCTTACTCGAAATATCTAATGGGGTTCTCCTGGAAACCACAACAACAACAACAACAACTTCACCCTACCCAACCGGCCCTCATGGCTGACCACGAGATCGAAGAGGCCAAGCGTCTAATCCTCGCACGACGAGCCTCCGTCCAGACCAAGAGCAGCGACCAATCCTTCGGTCGTCTTCGTACCCGATCACGGACATTCTCCAACTCCCAAAAGCCCTTCACTTACCAAGAAATCAACCAGGTCCTCGACGAGATGGTGGATGCAAACGGGCCTGTGGGTGTGATCAAGGCCCTCCTGGCACTCGGCGCCGACGTCAACTTTTCCAAGAGAAGGAGCGTGGACACCTGGAGCAAGCTAACTGGCAGGAAGAACGAAGGCTGGCGCAGTGATATCCTCATCCGAGCAACCGTCCGATGTCCCTCCGAGACTGTCTACGCCATCGCCCATCACGCCGACCAGGAGAATCTCGATGGTGCCTTGCATCATGCCATGCTAAGGGGCAACCTCGCTGTGCTGCAGGCATTGCTTGATCACGGCGCAAATCCTGTTCAGCTGCATGATGACTTCCTCGACCTGATATCCCGCAACCACGTCGATCTCGTACAGGCTATCCTGGCTGGCCACCGACTGCCGTGTCTCCCATGTCGATCTACTGGATTGATGATAGCTGCCAAGAACGGGTCGCTAGAGATCGTCAGTCTGTTACTCAAATGCTGGGCTGATGTTAATCACGACGGCGGAGCTGCGTTGGTGGCAGCTGTAGAAGCCCGTCGCCCCGATCTAGTTGCGGTTCTCATCTCTGGCCCGGTACAGCCCTCTCCTCGTTCTTTGGACGCTGCTCTTGGTCGGGCCCATAAGGAAATAATGGCACGTTCAACCGAGGAGCATCGGGAAATTATCGAAATGTGTTTGTCTGCCGGTGCTGCAGGAGAAGAGACGACCCGGCTTGTGACGGAGGGGGTCGTAGCCGCTGTACGAACGAGACACATCCAGTTGCTAGACACGGTTCTCCGGGTCAAGAGGCCACCGCCGCAGTATGAAGCAATGGCCATGGCGGATGCAGTCAAGGCGCAGCACATCGATGTTCTGAGTAAGCTGCTTGTACTGAAGCCGCAGTCCAAGAGCCTCGCGCTTGCGGTTTCCCAAGCCGTCGAAATACACAACCGACAAACGCGCCACGACATTACTCAGATACTCATCGATTCGGGTGCTCAGGGGTCATGTACGGCGGAGGCCTTGGTCAAGATCGTCAAGATAATTGTCACCGAGCCCGGGATGCCCCACAAGACGTCTTTAGATCGAGCGATGGACAAGAAGCTGTTCCGTCTTTTGCTTCAGCAAGGAAAGGCAGATGTGAACTACGAAAATGGTGAAGCTTTGCAGATTACAGTCCAGAAGCCGTGTCTAGAGATTGCTGAGGAGATTATTAGTCGGGAACCATCGCCCGAAGCCTTGGGTGCTGCCTTGCCTTGGGCGATGGATCTCGTCAACCCGAGGGCTAGGGAGTCGATGATTGAGCTCCTGCTTCGAAAGCATATCAATGAAGATGCTGTAGGAAAAGCCTTGGTTCAGGCCTTTAAGGAAGGGCCTGATAATGGGTAAGTGACTCCCATATGGCGAGTAGAAGAGCAAATCGTACTAATCAGAGTACGAAACAGGCCCCTCATCAAGTTACTCCTCACTCGTGCATCCGTTAATCATAACAATGGAGAAGTATTCATCTTCGCGATTCGCCAATACCGACCCGAGACGTTCCGAATGCTCCTCGACCAAGGGATTAGCTACAAAGCCCTCTTCACCGCCATCAACGAAGCCCTCAAAACCTCTAGGACGAACAGGCGAGCGGTTTTTGCGGATCTCATGAGTCGCCTACAGTTTGACCATCTGAATACCGCATTGAAGCACGTCGTCCTCGAGGCCGACACCGACCTGACTCTGGCCAAATCACTACTCGAAGCAGGAGCCGAGGCCACACACGAGAATGGTGTCTGCATTAAGAATGCTGCCTCCAATCTCGATCACGATACCCTTGGTCTCCTGACAGAATACTCCGGCACTCATGAAAGCATCTTCACGCAAGCTATGGCCGGTGTCGTCAACCGTGGAAAGCAGTGGATTGCCTTTGAACATGTCGAGGTCATGAAACTCCTCGTCCGGGGAGGGGCCTCTATCCAGGTGATTAACAAGGCCGTGGTGGAAGTCATCGACACTTTGGCCTGCAAGGAGTCGCAGATCGATCTGGCCAACAGATTTCTCGACATCTTCTTCGCTGCCGGCGCCGATGTCAACTACGAGAACGGAAAACCGGTCGGAATCGCCGCCAGTCGTGGTGATCCGGTGCTTCTTGCGCGGTTGCTTAGTAATGGTGCGTCCTCAATGACTTCCACACACGCTCTCTCAACTGCTATAATGGCGCACCATGACGAGAACCTGTTATTGCGGTTGATCGACGTTTTTGCGGATAGGCGAACTGCGGCACCGGATGTGAACCAGTCGATTCCGGGAATGCCATCGCCAATCTTCCTGTGCCTCAAGTCGTACCCTAAGTCGCTGGCCTTGTTGGATAGTCTCGTCGGTGCCGGGTGTGATCTCGAGTCCACCGTGCTGTCGGATGTTTGCCCTGAGGAGGAGTCGACTGAGAAGAAGGTGCGGGCTGGAAATTTTGATGAGCCGGTTACCGTCTTGTTGTGGGCTCTTTTGCCCAGGAATAGCCAGATTGATCCTGCTATCGTTAATGGGCTTGTTTGTCACGGTGGTAAGTGCAGGTCAGCCTGAATGGAATTGACTTGTGCGCTGACAGACCCAATAGCCAACATCGCTTACGCGTCGCCGAGAACTCATACCACCGCTTTGATATTGGCGGTCAAGTCAGGAAGAGTTGAAGCCGTGCAGACACTCCTCAATGCCGGTGCCAAAGTCACTGCCAAAGACAGCCAGGGACGTTCCGCTTTGTACACTGCCGCCAGGTTGGGCAATGCGGATATTGTGGCCGCGTTGCTGAGAATCAATTCTTCCCTAAACGATGGCAGTCTCCATGAAGCGTCGCGTAACCTCCACACTGGTGCAATGCGCCTCTTGGTTGAATGCGGCCATGATCCTAACTACAGGTCAAGCAAGCATGACGGACGCACTGCCTTTGGTGAGATGGCTTTCAAGGCCACTGTGCCTCGCGATATTACCATTGCTGAGGAGGCCGTCGAGATTCTCTGCACCGGCGGTGCCAGCCCTCTGCTCAAAACCAATGGAAAGACGATCCTGTTCTTGGCCTTGGACAATATGGACAACGAAGCCATGACCCGTCTACTCCTGGACAAACATCTGTATCGCATCCTCAACAGCCGGGAGAATATGTATGTGGAGGGTATCTACCACTACTCGCCAACCATGTATGTCAAGAAAGGCATGCTTCAGGGACCAAGGACCGCCGGTCTGATTGAGATTCTGGAGGGTCATGGCGGCGAAGACCGGTACTACGCTACCATGGAACAGAAACAACCACATGATGCTGTAGGTATGCCCGAGGA